TCTTTCAATGAATAAAAAAACAGATTTGAAGGAATTCAAAACAGATTTACCTATTCCACTCTAAGAAGAAAAATCAGTTTTTTTCTATAGCTCCCTGTGATTATTGTTCCACTCTAAGAAGAAAAATCAATTTTTTGCTATAGCTCCCTGTGATTATTGTTATAGTTCAGCAAGTGTTTAAACAAATGTTTAATCCTATTAGTTAAAAAACATGAAAGAACAAAAAGAAAACATGTTGAAAAAAACATAACACAAAAAATGCATTTGAAGGAATTTTTAACATATTTACTTATTCAACTCTAAGATGAAAAATCAGTTTTTTGCTATAGCTCCCTATGATTATTGCTATAGTTCAGCAAGTCTTTAAACAAATGTTTAATGGTATTAGTTTAAAAAATGACAGAACAATAAGAAAACTTGCTGAACAAAACAGAACAAAAAAGATGCGAATTGAAAACAGATTTCCCTATTCAAGAATAAGAAGAAAAATCAGTCTTTTGCTATAGCTCCCTATGATTATTTCTATAGTTCAGCAAGTGTTTAAGAAAATGTTCAATGCTATTAGTTAAAAAAATGACAGAACATAAATATGAAGGAACTATCGTCTGAATCTAAAATATTAAAATGTGTTGCTTGCCGAACTCCTAAAGCCAGAGCAACGCTACATGTAGCTTATGCTTTTTCAGTATTCACTTAGAAAATAAAGAAGGAAAAACTGTCAAATAGGTTCTCGAACTTTCATTGAAAAGTCAATTAAGTATTTCTATAGGAGACTCTGTCTGGTCGTCGCGATTTGGGGTGGTTCCCGGTGGAATTTTTTGATGAATTTTTTTGAGCATCTTATTCATCAAGTCTAGTTTATTCATACCAAATTTCAGCTAAAAATTTAATCGCGCATTCAAATTAATTCGAGAACGTAAAAATGCACAATTACCTTCAAGAATTAATTTGAATGTGTTCCCGATTGAATTTTTAGCTGAAATTTGATATGAGTAAACTAGACTTTGTGAATAAGATGCTCAAAAAATTTGATCAAAAATTCCATCGGGAACTGCCCCAAATCGCGACGGCCGGACAGAACCTCCTATAGGAGGACTTAATTGACCTTTTTATGAAAGTTCGAGGACCTATTTGACAGTTTTCCCAATAAAGAATCACATTATATTGAGGAGATCAAAGATTCATTGAAGATATCAATGTGTTTTATCGACAATGTTGGAGATTATTAGGACATATGTGACTTCTTTACACGTACAATTTTTAACGTTTCAGAATTTTTTGCCACCTCGATTGTGCTTATCCCCAAAGTGGGTCAAACAAAGAATGTGTTCACATTCTTCTTTACACTTTCCTTTTTTGTCAGTACCACATTCTTCTTTACACTTCCTTATTTGTCTTATTTGGTCAAACAGTGTCAAACAGTGCCAAACAATGTCAAACAGTGTCCAAACAGTGCCAAACAGTGTACTCTGCAGTAAAGTCAAATTTATTTTCTTAAAACTTATGAAGGAGATTATGAAGACGAGGGAGTATTTAGCATGCTTGCTTCGCATATGCGCACTACATAGAAAATTATTTTAAAACACCAGCCATTGTAAATCAAAGGGAGACCTAAATAAGACTAAAATAATAGTTAGGAAGGTAAATAGGAGTTGAAGCTTTTTAACTCCTAAATAGGACCAATTTTGAATTGATAGGACAAAATTGTCCTTATTAATCCTGTTTGTGCCTGCGGCAATCTTGCTGCCAACATAGGCACACAGATCTTGGAAGGTCTTCTCCGTGATTTGTCCAGAATTGGAAGACTAACCATTGCGGCGCCGGTTTCTATCTGATGCTTATTGGGAGATCTCATCACCTTCCTCATCGCCGTCAGGTCAACTACTGGCCTTCGATGTACAGAGTGAGGAACGCGGGGTTCTATCCGTACCGTCCGGCGGTGGAGTTTTTATCGTTGTTGAGGATGAGATCTGCCCGCGGCCGGTGCGGATGGGGGATATTGCTTGTTGATTCTGTGTGTGGCAGAGGATGGGAGGCAGGTTTTGCAGAAGTATGGCTTCAGTGAGCAGAAGGTGAAAGAGTTGTGCAGTCTGTGTGAAATCGCTCTCGCCATGGTTGCCTAGTAGTTGTAGTACTTGCAAGCATTTTTGTTGAGCTGCCAAAGACTCTGCACTTGCATCTGTGCATCAGTGTGAGTTTGGGTAAATGTTCATAAGCATTCAAATAATATATTTTATTTTTCAGATTAATAAAAATTTAGTTTTGAATTAATGGAGGGGGAAATCGGTTCCAATTCACACTCAGATTATTTATAGTAAATAAAATTTACGTGTTCAGAAATTACATTAAAAAATTTTCAAAGTTTGATCAAGAAAATCTAAATTTAATTTGATAAAAGTTTGATATATAAAGCAAAAGACTAAGAGTGATTTAAGTTGACCAAGTGATGTGTACTTTAAGAAGGCAACTTATAAATTTATTGAAGAATGCATCAATATATAGACAAAACAATAACAGAGGCTGCAGTCACTTCCTTCGTTAATCTGGAGTAAAAATCAAAGCTTACTGCTGAGGCATATTATTCCGACCCACTACTGTCTAGGGGCCCAAGAAGTTACCCCAGCACAAAGCCTGATCGTTTAGGCCCCATTGGGCCTGGTTCGGACCACTCAACCCATGTGGGCCCATTTCAGCCCTATTGGCCCATTAGAATAGCTTTCTACAAATAGGAGGAGGCTTCTCTTCTCTAGGGGACTTCTCTTCCTCCCCTCTACTCCATCTTTCTTATCTCTGTACTCTAGAATAGTCCAACCTTCATTAATGGAGGTCCAAGGTATGTAATATGTAATGGTGAGGAAAGTCTTATTGAGAAGGAGAAGACTTCATGCTAAAAATCATAAAATTGGGCTACAATTAAACGTTGGTTTTGAATTACAATTCACAATCTTATGTTTTAATTTAATTTAAAAAAAGGATATTTAAACGAGATTAGAACTTTAGGTAGGAGGCATTGAAAATTTGCTACAATATCTCTATTCTAAGATAAACAAAGTGCGTAACAAATATAATGACAAATAAAATTAGATTTTGTGTTTAATGGAAAACTTCACCAAAGAACAAAGATTTAAATAACTTACCTGTAAAATCTGGGAAGTCTTTGAAAACAAATCAAACAACCCTTCAAATATCTGGGAAGTCTTTTCCGGAATTGAAATTTTGGAGCTTGTTGTGTAAATAATTCAAAGTGTTAGTAATATTGTGTGTGCAGGTGTGTGTGATGTATTGTGTTCTTAAAGTCTTACTATAAATAGTAAGACTGATATTAATGTTGTGTGCGGATGAAAAAAGAACAGAGTATGTGAATAAAATCGTTTTCCTCTCCAAGAGTTAGTTAGTACAGTTATAACTTTCTCCCCATCAATTGGTATCAGAGCTATATGCTCCTCCGGACCGATTCACCACCACGCACGGCGCTGCAACTCTCTGAGTACTGATTGGCCTCTCTGATGTCAAATTCAACCGGATTCCTCGGTAATCTACCCATTCTTGATGCAAAGAATTGGGATAGATGGTGTATACAGATGAAAGTGATTTTTGGCTTCCAAGAAGTTAGTGAAGTCATTGAAGAAGGAATTCCGAGTCTGGGAGAGCATCCAACAGAAGTGGAACGCAGAGATTACCGTGAGGCCAAGAAGAAAGACTGTAAAGCTCTATTTCTTCTTCACCAATCTGTAGATGATTCGCACTTTCAGAAAATTGCTATGGCTAAGACAAGTCAAGAGGCTTGGAAGATTTTAGAGCAAAGTCATTCTGGTGGAGAAAAGGTAAAGAAAGCTCGACTGCAAACCCTAAAACGCCAGTTTGAATTGCTTAAAATGATGGACTCTGAAACGATAGCTGATTATGTCAATAGAGTTGTGACTCTTTCCAATTCTATGAAAAGATGTGATTATGAAGTTAAGGTGTCTGAGGTGAATGAAAAGATAATGAGATCTTTGTTGAAGAAATTCGATTATTTTGCTTGTGCTATTGAGGAGTCGAAAGACGTTGGCTCTATGACAACTGAAAATCTGCAGAGTACTCTTGAAATCTATGAACAAAAAATGTTAGAAAGAGATACTGAGGATTTGCAAGAACAGGCTCTACTTGTTCACAAATTCAAGAAAAGAGGTTCTCAAAAAGGTGACCAGAAAGGGAAAGGAAGAGAAAAGGTTAAGATTCAAACTGATGAGAAATCTGACCATGATCTAAGTGAAAATCTGACAAGAGGCGTGTGACTCAGAAGAAGAAATTTGACAAAAAGAAAATCCAATGTTTCAATTGTAAGAAGTGGGGCCACTTTCAGGATGAGTGCTGGTTTGGTGAAGGAAAAGACAATAGGCCAAAGAGTAAGAAGAAAGAAGAAGAGGCCTATACTGTTGAAGAAGAAATCTCGAATGAAGATGAACCCGTTGTGCTCATGACTACCTTGTGTGAAGATTCAGCTGTGTGTGAAGACACCTGGTATCTGGATACAGGCTGCAGCAATCACATGACAGGTAACAAATCATGGTTAGTAAATTTCTGTAAAAAACAACAATGCAGTGTGAGATTTGCTGATCTTAGTGTTGTACAAGTAGAAGGAGTTGGTGATGTAGTCATGACTGGTAAAAATGGAAAGAATGTTGTCTTAGAAGAAGTGTTGTTTGTTCCTAAGATGAAATGTAATCTGCTGAGTTTAGGACAGTTGCTTGAGAAGGGATTCAAAACTGTCCTAAAGAACAATCATCTAGAACTGTATGATCCTTGTAATTTGCTGTTGCTTAAAGTTCCCTTGTCCAAGAACAGGACGTTTAAGGCTCAAGTAAATACAGCTGAGGTACAGAGTTTGAAAGCAACATCTGTTCAAGATGACACCTGGTTGTGGCATGCCAGGTTGGGCCATTTGAACTTTAAAAGTCTTCAGCAACTACATATCAAGGATATGGTGGTAGAGATTCCACAAATCAATTTGCCAGATAAGGTGTGTGGTGAATGTGCAGCAGGGAAGCAACATAGAGATACTTACAAACATCAAGTGCCTGCAAGGTCTACTGGAGTACTGAATGTGGTGTTCTCAGATGTGTGTGGCCCGTTTGAGCAGTCTACTTTGGGAGGTAACAAATATTTTGTTACATTTGTGGATTACTTTAGCAGGATGATGTGGATTTACATGCTAAAGTATAAGAGTGATGTGTTCAAAGTGTTTGTGAAGTTCAAAAGACTTGTTGAGAATCAGAGTGGAAACTCAATCAAGATACTTAGAACTGATGGAGGAGGGGAATATACTTCAAAAGAATTCACCAAATTCTGTGAAGATAATGGCATTGTGCATGAAGTTACTTCACCTTACACTCCTCAGCACAATGGAGTAGCTGAGAGGAGGAATAGAACTATACTTAACATGGTCAGGTGTATGTTAAAAGAGAAGGAGTTGCCTAAACATCTATGGGGAGAAGCTGCAAATACTGCAGCATACTTGCTGAACAAGTGCCCTACTAAGAAGTTGGAGGGAAAGGTGCCTGAAACAGTTTGGACTGGTGTGAAACCTAGTGTCAGAAACCTCAGGGTATTTGGCAGCTTGTGTTATAAGCATGTGCCTGATCAGAAAAGAAGAAAGTTAGATGATAAAGGTGTCCCTATGGTATTGGTTGGGTATCATGTTGCAGGTTCCTATAAGCTGTTTGATCCAATAACAAAAGGCTTTGCTTATAGCAAGGATGTTGTTTTCAATGAGGTTGAGAGATGGGATTGGAACTCAATTCAGCATCAAAAGAGAACATTTACCAGGATACTTGATGAAGAAACTGAGCCCATTTCTGAGAATATTAATCAAGTGACTACTGAGAATTTGGCTGAAACAAGGACTCAGAGACCTCAAAGGAACAAGCAACAATCCTCTAGGCTTGCTGGGTATGAAGTCTATGAGGATACAGAAATTAATGAAGAAGGTGAGCTACTGCATCTAGCTTTACAAGCAGATTGTGAAACACTTGATTGGAAACAAGCTTTGACTCAAAAAGAATGGAAGGAGGCCATGATTGAAGAAATCAAAGCTATTGAGAAGAATTCTACATGGGAACTAATCTCATTGCCAACTGGTAAGAGGCCTATTAGTGTGAAATGGGTCTTCAAGACAAAGTATAAACCTGATGGCACAGTTTCCAAGTATAAAGCTAGATTGGTGGCAAGAGGCTTCCTACAGAAGGAAGGTCTAGATTATACTGAGGTCTATGCACCTGTGGCAAGGATTGAAACAATAAGAATGGTGGTGGCCTTAGCAAACAAAAGGGGCTGGAATATGGCACAGTTAGATGTAAAGTCTGCATTCCTAAATGGAGAATTGGAAGAAGAGGTTTATATAACTCAACCTCCTGGTTTTGAGATAAAAGGTGCTGAAGATAAAGTCCTTAAATTGAGAAAGGCTTTATATGGGTTGAAACAAGCTCCTAGGGCTTGGAATAAGAAAATCAAGGCATGTTTGCATGAGCTGGGTTTTAAAAATTGTATCAGTGAACATGGTGTTTATGTTAAAAGAACTCACAGTGATATTATAGTGATTTGCCTATATGTTGATGATCTGCTGGTTACAAGTAGTTCTTTTGAACAGATTGAGATTTTTAAAGGACAAATGGAGAGGGAATTTGAAATGACAGACTTGGGTCAGCTTGCATACTTTCTGGGAATGGAATTTTGCTTTCTAGCTGATGGAGTTTTCATACACCAGAAGAAGTATATTGCAGATGTGTTGAAAAAATACCACATGATTGAGTGTAACCATGCAAATAGTCCAATGGAACCAAGGTTGAAGTTAGAACTGTGTGAAGAAGAAAAGGAAGTAGACGAAAGTTTTTTCAGAAGCATAGTTGGCTCCTTAAGATTCATCTATAATACCAGACCTGATATTACATTCAGTGTTGGTCTGGTTAGCAGGTTCATGCAGACTCCAAGACAATCACACTACTCAGCGGCAAAGAGAATATTGAGGTATCTAAAAGGTACAAGTGAATTTGGAATATGGTATCCAAAAGAAGAGTTGGAAGTGGAGATGGAAAATCTGATAGGCTTTTCTGATTCAGACTGGAAGGGGGATTCAGTAGAAAGGAAAAGTACTACAGGATATGTGTTTAAGTTGTATGGCTGTCCAATTTCCTGGAGTTCTAGAAAGCAGCCTAAAGTATCACTTTCAACTTGTGAGGCTGAATATGTGGCTGCAGCATATGCAGCATGTCAGGGAGTGTGGCTGAATGTGTTGTTAAGTGAAATATTGGGTGAAGAACAAGAAGCATTTCAACTTTTGGTTGATAACAAATCTGCCATAAATCTTGCTCTAAATCCTGTTTCACATGGAAGAAGCAAGCACATTGAGACTAAGTATCATTGGCTGAGAGAGAAAGTAAGTGAAGGAAAGCTGGTACTTATATATTGCAGGAGTGATGAACAGATATCAGATATATTGACAAAGCCCTTACCTGTTGACAAATTCAAAAAGCTTAGAGAGGAGCTTGGAGTCAGAAATTCAGTTTCTTGAAAAAAAGTTTTGTTCCTTTGTCTTACACTTTGAATTACGGGAGAGTGTTGTGTAAATAATTCAAAGTGTTAGTAATATTGTGTGTGCAGGTGTGTGTGATGTATTGTGTTCTTAAAGTCTTACTATAAATAGTAAGACTGATATTAATGTTGTGTGCGGATGAAAAAAGAACAGAGTATGTGAATAAAATCGTTTTCCTCTCCAAGAGTTAGTTAGTACAGTTATAACTTTCTCCCCATCAGAGCTATGATGGGAGTTATGAGATGGCTGGCGGATGTGAATATATGAAAAATTTTGTAGAAAGCATCAGCATAGAGAGGCGGTGCTTGGCTAGGAGAGGTTGGAAGATTTTTAAGAAATTAGGAGTGTGTAGTGTTTGCTTAATTAGTATGATGAAGTGGTAGTGCCATAATGGGAAATTGGGGGTGATGTTTTGGGCAGGGCATGTTTAGATATACTACGCTACACTCCTTCCTTATCTTTGGGTAGTGAAGTGACGTCACTATTGCTAATATAGTAGTTACGGTTTCATATACGAAGTACTTCGTAGTAGTTATGGAACTATTTCAATGTCACACATGCTTTAAGGAAGACTTCTAACGGGAACAAATGCAGGAGAAAAAGTTTCATATGAAGGATGTCTTTTACTCCCTCAAACATGAAGCTACCTTTCAAGTTTCAAAGAAGATGTGATGGTCCCTGATAGAGGTAAAAGTCTAGAGGGGGTGAATAGACTTTTAAGGCTTTTTCAACTTAAAAAACTTTCCCAACTAGATATGATGATCTATAACCTTTTGAGAGATTAAAGATGCATAACGGAAGTCTTAACCTCTATATAAACTGTGTATGGCAACTTTGTATTTATAGTATGTGAACAAAAGGAGTTTGTCAGAACAATCAGATAAGTCTCATTATATCTAAATAAGTCAAATGAAGTATTTGAATGAGATTTAAACTTATCTAGAAAGGCAGTTGCCTTGGCAGTTGTGTAGGCAATAGTTTGGGCAGTAGAGTAGTCGATAGAGTACTGCTAAGGCTGCTGCAGAGTAAAGAATTGATTTTCTAGATTCTGATTGATCTGGGATGTTTTGGACTACTTTATAAGGCTTTAGAAGCTGTTCCGTTCACCTGATCTGAATGTTTCTGATCTGAATTTTTTAAGTTCTGATCTGATCTGAATTTTTCTGATCTGATCTGATCTGAATTTTTCTGATCTGATCTGATCTGAATCTTTCTAATCTGATCTGGACGTTGCTGAACTGATCTGAATGTTGCTGATCTGATCTGATCTGATCTGAATGTTTCTGATCTGATCTGAATGTTTCTGATCTGATCTGAATCTTTCTGATCTGATTTGAATATTTCTATAATTGTAATTATAATTATAATTATTAGATTTATAATTGTAATAAAAAATATAACTTAAATAAAATTACAATTATAATCATACTTATAAAAAAATAATAATTAAAGTTAAATTTAAAATTATAATAATTATACCAATTACACTAATTATAAATACAGATACAATTATAAATGTAATTATATTTTTAATTATGATTAATTTTATAATTTTTTTTTGTAATTATAATTATAATATTTATCTCTATAATCATAATTATATCTATAATTACTAATTTAAATATATAATTACTCCGAAGTAATAATAATTACAAAAATAACAACAAGAACAACAATCATATTAATAATAATGATGATTATAATTATAATTACATTGTAAATCATAATTATAATTATAATTATAAATATATTATATTATATTATATTATATTATATTATATTATATTATATTATATTATATTATATTATATTATATTATATTATATTATATTATATTATATTATATTATATTATATTATATTATATTATATTATATTATATTATATTATATTATATCGTATCGTATCGTATCGTATCGTATCGTATCGTATCGTATCGTATCGTATCGTATCGTATCGTATCATATCATATCATATCATATCATATCATATCATATCATATCATATCATATCATATCATATCATATCATATCATATCATATCATATCATATCATATCATATCATATCATATCATATCATATTATATAATATTATATTATATTATATTATATTATATTATATTATTATAATATAATAATAATTTTATATTATTAACATTATTATTATATTAATATTAATAATATTATTATATTAATATATTAATATTATTAACAATAACTATAATATAATAATCATAATTAATATAATAATAAAAGTGATAAATCATGTTTGAATTTTTTGATCTGATCTGATCTGATTTGAATGTTTCTGATCTGATCTGAATGTTTCTGATCTGGTCTGATCTGGTCTGAATCTTTCTGATCTGATCTGAATGTTGCTGATCTGATCTGAATCTTTCTGATCTGATCTGAATGATTTGATCTGATCTGAATCTTTCTGATCTGATCTGATCTGATCTGAATCTTTCTGATCTGATCTGATCTGATCTGAATAAAATAAGATTAAGGAATAAGTAATAAGATTAAGACGAACGGAACAGCTTCTTAGTGATATGGAGATGTTTCAAGAGAAAATGTAGAAATGGGCAGTGAGTTGAGCAGTGGAGTGAGTAGTAGACTACTGCCGAGATAACTGCTAAAACCTCCTCTTCTTAGTGTAAGAAGTGTTTTGGTGTGTGCTTTGTTGATGAAAGTAAATCAACACACAATATATCCTGGTTCAGAGGTGGTGTAATCCGCCTACATCCAATCTCACCCTCTTTCAGATGGATTTCCACTAAAGTATTAAACTCAATACAATCAGTGCCAATCTGGCCTTAACCACACAACTAGCCTAGATTGATGGTGTTTCACAGGGAGTACACACCACTCCAAGCTATTCAAACCTTTAGATTTTCTCAATTGATCTAGTGGGGATCAAAAGGTACTCTATTCTATTCATCCACACTTAGGACTAGATAACACTGTACTTTTAAGTGTTTACAAAAATTTATGATATAACAAAAATTCTAGCCTCCAACTATGAACTAAACTTCCAGAATATAGCAATGAAATGTTCTACCTTGGAAGTTTAGTGAATAGGGCTGCGCGCGGATCTGGGAATTCCCGTTCCGTACTGAAAAACCGTACTGAACCGTTCCAGAACCGATAGAACCGGAAAAATGTAACACCGTACCGAGCTTTTTTAATAAGATGGTACAGTACCGGTTCTTAGTGAGAACCGTTCCGGAACCGTATTGAACCGAACCATCTCGTACCGTACCGAATTGTCCCAAAAACAGTGTTATAATATAATTATATATTATTTATAATGTATTTTACTGAGTGTAAATGTTAGTGACCGTATGCCATTACAATGTGTAATCTTGCATATTCTTTGTCATTTGATGTGATACTTTTTGGTTTTTCAGTTTGACGATCACTTTTGATTTTTAGTTTGGATGTTACTTTTCTTTATTATAGTTTGATTATTAGTTTCATATTTCAATTTGATCACACAAGATCAATTAAATGTAGTCTTGCAAGTTCTTCTCTTAAATTTTTGTAGAGTTATTTATAAATGTTAAAATCTAAAGTTTTTTATATTTCATGGGGTTAATTATGTAGGAACTAAATAACACCGAAGAACCGTACCGAACCGTACCAAAAATTGGTACGGAACGAGATAGGTTCTATATATATATATATATATATATATATATATATATATATATATATATATATATATATATATATATGCAGGACGGTACCGGTTCTTGATTTTTAAAAGAACCGTACTTTGGGACGGAACAGGTTTTTCGAAATAACTGTCCCGTACCGTCCCATGATCACCCCAATTAGTGAAACATGAGTTTGAGCAGAGAGCAAAGTTAAACATGCACTTTCTCTTTTGCTAGATATCTCTTAAATGCTCAATAAGATTTCTCTACTTCGAAGGCTCAAAAAAATGATTTTAGTACTCATGCTTCTGCCTATATTTATAGGCCTTTCCAGTTGATTCATTTTATCCGTTGGTTGAGATGAAACCATCTTGAACGTGTTGAAATACGTCTTCTTGTGCTGGAGCAGATATTGTTGATTTCTTTGTCCTCACTGATTAGCCGCTGAAAGACCAATTCAAAATCAATCTTCATGATTTGGTGTGTGCGTCCCATACTCTTAGGCCCATGTACTATTTAGCATTAAATGCTCTTCAGCTTTGTCTTCAATCATACACGTAAAGTGTATAGTGTGTGCCGTGTATTGCTTTGGGCTTTACTTATTTGTGACTTCAACATTTTGTATCAAATAAAATTTGTACTAGTAGGATCTTAAATATCCTTTTAAGGTAAATAAAATTTACCTTATTGCATTTTAAATTTCCAGTAAAATTTATTAGATACAAAAGTTGTACATTTCAATTTGTCACTTTTTGACCAGTTGATAGTGTTTTGACTGTTTAATTTATGTGTCAAATGAAGTTATAATGGTAGGATTTAAATATCCTTTTAAGGTAAATAAATTTTACCTTATTGCATTTTAAATTTCCAGTAAATTTATTTGGTACAAAAATTGTACATTATCAATTTGTCACTTCAGAGTGGTTGATAATCATGGGCGGATCTATGTTGGGGCAGGGGTGGGCTCCAGCCCAGCCTAGTCCAATTTATTTTTATTATTATAGGTATAGGTTTAATTTCCAGTCCACCTCAAAATTAATGTCTAGCCCAGCCCAAGCCTACCAACTTTGTAATTCTATTTGATTATTAATTGAATTTTTTCAGTAGATTGTAAAATAGTTTTTATTTATTATAAATTTATAATGATTAAAGATAGAATTAAAGATTAGAAAATGATTTATTTATTATGCAATTAAAGAATAGAGAACGATGTATTTACTGTTTAGGCATGTAAGAATGGATTCAAAATCTCAATTCAATTTTAAAATTGGGAATACTTATTAGTTTTATGTACAACGACTATTTTACTTATTAGGTTTATACTTTTATAGAAGTATTTTAATTTATATCAATAAATACTAAAATCTTTAATAATCAATAATAAAATTATAAATCACACTAAAAACGTTTAAATTTTAGATATACTACCTCCATCTCGTTTTATTTAGCCATCTTTGACTCTTTAGTCAAATATGGTAAACTTTGATCCATCATTTTAACTCATGTATTAATGTGAAACTTACTAAATTTATAATTTTATGATAAACTTTTTAACAAAGAACATTTCCATTTCATTTTCACATTATCAATTTTATTGTATAAATATATAGTCATTCAGAGTTTAACTTCTTTGACTTGAAAAGTCAAATTAGTCTTAATAAAAGTGTGCGGAGGTAGTATATAGTTTGTTTCTATAATTTATAAGTTATCAATATGCTCGAGTCCAGATCGAACTGAACATGACTATGCTCGAATTCAGCTTAAATAACTATTCAAACTCAAAAAAATAAAGGCCGCTTTTTTTGTAAAAACAAACTATTTAAACTAAAATTTAGCCCGTGTTCGAGATTGAAGCTCGTTAAGATTTGGTCATTAAATTAAATTCGAAATCACGATCGAACTCGAGTAGTTCGAAAAAAAACTCAGTTCAATAACTATCGGTCCTAAGCTAAACCTTTTTGTATGCAGTAACGAAAATTTTTATTGCTTAGCCCACCCCACCCCTCATTCCTGGATCCGCCCCTGAATGATAATGTACTCCTTTCTTTTTAGTACATTAATCAAATTTTGACATGGTCACTAAAAATAGGAACACGAATCACACAGGAGCTTAGTATAGTGGCATCATCAAAATCTATCAAAATTGGGTATTAACAAGATGACATTAACAAGAGTTGGATGCAATCGTTGTCAAATGTTGGTCTATTTTTATAAAAACAAGATTTCACTCATGGTTAATTGTATGTAACTCTTTCACGTGTCACTGATTGCGATGGATTGAAAATGTTCTAACGTGACAAAGATGGTAACCGTACCAATGTAACGAAAAGTGTTGTATATAAAGAAGTGTTTCAAAATTTGTAAAACATTCGTCTATTATATTTATAGATTTGTAATTCAATTTGGAATGTGAAAATTGATTTGATTACAAACATGTGTGGAAATACAATTATCCAAAGAAAATATTTGTCGTGCATCGCACATGTGCTATGTATTTAAGTTTTTTGCCGTGCATCGCACGGGTGAGCTACTAGTTGTAAATCAAAGGGACACAGACCTAAATAAGACTAAAATAACAGTTAGGAAGGTAAATAGGAGTTGAAGCTTTTTAACTCCTAAATAGGACCAATTTTGGATTGATAGGACAAAATTGCCCTTATTAATCTTGTTCGTGCCTGCGGCAATCTTGCTGCCAACATATATAGGCACACATATCCTGGAGGGTCTTCTCCGCGATTTGTCCGGAATCGGAAGACTCACCATTGCGGCGCCAATTTCTATTTGATGCTTATTGGGAGATCTCGTCACCTTCGTCATCACCGTCAGGTCAATTGCTGGCCTTCGATGTATAGAGTGAGGAACACGGGGTTCTATCTGTATCGTCCAGTGGTGGAGTTTTCACCGTTGTTGAGGATGAGATCTGCTACGTGACGTCACAGAAGCATATGGATGAAGTTTTCGCATTTGACATCTTCAACGGGCTGGTAATAGGCCTGAAACGGAGCGTTTATCTAAACCTTTCGGGATTCACAGTGATTAAGGTGGTGCCGGCGGCCAATGCGGATGGGGGAGATTGCTTGCTGATTCTGTTTGTGGCGGAGGATGGGAGGAAGGTTTTGCAGAAGTATGGCTTCAGTGAGAAGAAGGTGAAAGAGTTGTGTAGTCTGTGTGAAATTGCTCTCGCCATCGTGTGTTGCACAAGCTTTGGCAATTTTCTGTTCCATCTTATTTCTGTTTTTCTTTGGCTATTTGATTGATTTTATTAAGTAATTTTCTTTGTTTTCCGAGTTCACACCAAAAAGAAATACAAGAATGAGAGGAGGAAACCATCACCTCTTATGATGCATGAGAGATGTATTTGATAATGATGTGTCTTGTATTCATGCATGTGAACCATCCCCCCCCCCCCCCCCCCCCCTCATTATGATCCGATTCTTCAAGACGTCATACTTATTTTTTTGAAAAAAAAAACAAAAACTAAAAATGGGGGAAAAACGAGAGACACTTTGGTGTTCCGTTTACACATCATCATGGAAAACCATGATGTGGTATGCAGATAATGTTTGATATAGTGAGAGCCTAAACAGGACTTCATGCAAATCCTTGTTAAGCATTCACAATAATGGATGTCACTTCGATCATTATTTCATAATCATGGAGATTAGCAAGGAAAAAGGTAACCTGTCTTCCATTAACATCACTCTAGATTTGAACTTCAGAGAATGGTCTGAGCACGTTAGTGATAGAGATGATGCAATGTTGTGACTTCCTTTCAATCCTTGAACTGCATCTAAAGTAGATGAGTGTATGGAAGTTCTCACATGGTCACGAAGACCAGCAAGTGACTCATAAAATGTGTTCATTTCCTAGGAAATTTTAAAACATTTGAGAGTGATATAACTAGACATGATGTGATGAATGAAAATTCGGTGGTGTGTGGTTGTGGATCACTGTGGTCAATATCACCCACCACATAAGGAGACAGTGATAATATATGAGGTTCCCTATAATATGTGTTGAAACACCTGCCCGTTGGGCGGCAGATGATTGGTCAAGGGTAGTGTTGTGCATGCGCCGTTGAACTAGATGCAGCCACTTTTTCCCAGGATTTGAATTAATCATTCATGTATCTATGGAGGTTGTCTTGAGGCTTTGAGTGACTTGTTGTGATATCTCAGTTGATAGCGCAGTTGAGGAGGTAAACTTGTCATTGATAACAACTTCTTGCTCATTTGAACATTCTCCTTGCTCACTCTCGAAATGTTCACTCACACTCAGCTTTAACCCTTGAGTAGGCCCAATTAAATTTGTCTGAGCCATTGGGACTTATCTCTCATTGCTCCCCTTCCCTCAATAGGATCGCTGAGTAAGGTGTGAATTTGACGTTGTTTGGCGTCAGGAGTAGAAAATTGAAAACTCTCCCCCAAAATGAGCATCCTTGAGTAGTCTTACATTTAATGTTGTTTGCTACACAGGGGAATTAACTCCCCTTCGAATTTTATAGTGGCATTTTTTGTCACACGAGGACTAAAGAAGAAGACACTCCCTCTATTTATGCATCCATCGTTATTTGGCATCACGGGCACTCCCCCTCAGATTTGAACTTGTGAGAGTTTTTGCATTTTGCGTTGTTGGGCACCGGGGGTATAGATAAAAACTCCCCCTCAGATCCTGCAAGGTGCAAGGTTGATTGATCAGCAGCTCGTCTTCCCACCATGTGTCTCGAGTAATCAGATCGGGTACCGCACATGACATGAATGCAAATGGTTAAGAAACATTTAATATCCACTTAAGAATGGTTATGTCCTTTCTTGTATAAAACAAATTATGAAAGGTTTGTTTTTATCTTTGTGCACAAACCAATATCTTTTGAAGCTTTAGAAGAGCTATATGCTTTGGATTTTGATGTAGGAATTCGTTTTTGAGCAAAAACATTTTCAGCACATGTGAATGATGGAACATATTTGTGAGAAGTGAAGATTTTCTCTATAGATAATCTTTTCTCATGTTTTGATAATAAACTTTGAGAGGATATTTCAAGCAAACAACATCACAAATATCACAAGTAAATGTTTTAAATGGCTTCTGTTTAGATTTCCCACCATTCAGATCACAATGATGGTGAGAAGCATTAGAGGAAGAATTATGCTTCACATTATCACTAACGACAACACTTGAATGACATTTCACGGATCTAAACTCCTTCAACGAAAACTAAAAAAAGATTATTTGTGACACAACTAAATGACATGCTGCTTGAACTTGGACTTTCTCTTGAACAGGTCTCTTTAAAAGTACTACAAGGCTTAGAGATAACATAATGATTAGATTTTTCAGAAAATATTCAAGTCGTGCAGCTTCCTTTGTAAAACATTTTAAAATCCAAATCATCCTCTTCTATTGACATTTATAAAGAACATTGAACAAGGGTTTTTCATAATGCGAATATGAGGATGACACTTTCACTTTTAAAACATGTTTTCAGGGATGCTTGAAATTTTTTCCTTTAGAAATAGCAGGGGAGGTAGAAGTTGTGTCTGTATTGGGGGAATTTTTGAGAGGAGATATCTTATTAAAAAATTCTTTTGATGTTTTGGAAACTTTTCTTTCTGTTTCCAAAGATCTGTGTAAGTCCGCAATTTTATGAATG